AGCCATGAAGCTGAGCTCTGATTGGTTCATCCTGTGTCCTGTGTAGAATACAATGTGTTGATATCTAATTTGATTGCATTTTTAGGGTAACTTTGCCAGCAACAGAATGAAGGATCCTGTCGTTTTGTTCTCTCATTTCACAGTCGTGCTTAATTCACAGCTTAGCAGATGGCTCCCGAACTGAAGCTCATATTTAATGTGTTCAGTCAGTTGGGGCAACAAAAGGGTTATATACTCTGTGAATAAGGGACAGAATTGAGGATAAGCCCTCAGCCTTCTCCTCTCTTGTCTTCGTTTTGGCTGCCTGTGCCAGGGTCTGCTCTTCACTAATTTTCTGTTTTGAGTTACTGGCTCTAATTTAGAACAGAGAGGTTCTGTTCATCCTGGAACGCTGCTGCTTGGGATTCTGGAAATGAGGAGTTCAGAGGCTCACCACCCTCACAGAGACACAAAGCACATGCCTTGTTATCAACCCACAGAGATGCACATAATGATCCCTCCAACCATTAACTCCTAATACAATAAAGCACTAACATTTTAGCCATGCCTTTCCGTGCCTAAATGTAATTGCGTTAGCCCACAGGCTGCGCAAATGTGCTCTGTGATAACACGCGTGTAGGAGGCATCGATCACGCTTAAAGCAGTGATCACATGACCATGCATTAGTTGCTAACAGTCAAGAAACATTTATCTTGAGTCAGACATTCAGATTTTGTTTCATATTTATGGGGAAATGTAAGAATATATTCCTCAAAGTGCTGATTGAGTAAAATAATCCGCAGAAATTCTCTCTGGCTAACATCACCACAGATTTCTGCTGCAAAGCCACATTGTGATGGGCTGGCATGTCGTTTTGTTGCATGACCATGGTGGGAATATAAAGCTTACAGAAAGTGTCAGGCTCTGTCACATCTTAAAAGAGATGCTTGCACACAAGCTAAATAAATCAGCTACGTAGTGGTGGCCTTGCTGCACTAACTGAAAACAATAAACCTGCCTACACACACATCTCTTGGGAACTGAATCTCATATCTAAAATAACAGCTATTTATTAAATGTGATGTTTTCACATTGCTCAATAGATGGCTTGGAGCTTTATAAAAAAAAAAGGCTGACATTCATCAGGCAGCAGGACTGCAGCAGTAGGCTGGGATACAGTCGAGCTGTAGGCTGATTGGAATGCATTTGGCAGACAAACAAGCAGTTCAGTGATTCTGAGAGAAAACTATTATATATGGTTCAAAGGATCCGTGTTAATGAAAGATTCCACCATCAGCTCTGGACTCTTTTTATCAAATTATGTGATACTGTATTGTATTATTCAATTATTTAATAAAACATTTGGAAAGTGTCTTTGTTATGACAGCAAAGTAGCTCTGGGTTATAAAATAATAGTTGGAGTTTAAGCTTAGCTACTCTTGTCAAAGAACTATGAACACATAGCTTGACAATACCTCAAGCTTATGAGTTGAAACACAGCAATCTAGAGTAAAATCTTTATATTTTGAGGAAAGATTGGATTTTTGTTTTTGCAAATATAGTACAGTTTTCAGACATTAGGGGGGAAAGAAATCTTTTATAGTTCCTCCAATGCCTCCAGTGATCCTGCTCCATGCTTATCTGCAGGCTTTTGCTGTTTATGTTTTCTTCATTCAGATAACTCCTATCCAAAGTCAATAAGCTGTTTACATTAAAGCTAAGAATGAGCTACTTAGAACAAATACCACACATCAGCTTCCTTTGAAGGTTAAAGATTTACAAAGCAACCCAGGAAAAAAAAAAAAGCTGTGGTCTTGTATGCAAAAAAAAATACAATCTGGACATGTGAGTAAAATACAAAAATTAAAAAGTTATTTTTGCTTTTAAAAAGTATATGAAAGACATTGAAGGTTAATGTCTAAATTAGGGCTGAAACACACTAATCGGATTAAATGTGATTCATTGATTATTGAAATAAGCGTCAATTAATTTAGTAATCGATTAGATTTAGAAATCGTAAAATATGCCTTTGGGGGACAAATTAACCAACCCTTAAGCAGCATTTATAGAAACATTGTAAAAACAAAATATTTATATATAAACATTTTGCCTCAAGTGGAAACGTTTTAGTTTCAACTTGTTTAATTTCATAAAAAGTCTTCTTAAAGGAACCTTTTGCTATCCGATTATTAATCGATTAATCGAAAAAATTATTGGATGACTAATCGATTTGTAAAATGATCGTTAGTTGCAGCCCTAAACTAAATGCTTACATGATAGTCAAAAGACAAATAGCTAAATGAAGTTTGATTATTAATTTAGAACTACAGTTTTACTTTAGCCTCCTTGGTGATGCAGGATTACTTAATCAAAAAAGGGGTTTCTATTTAAATCCCAAGTTTGGCAGTTCTGTGTTTTGCATCTGGTCATTAATTAGCCTTTTTTACGATAGGCTGAAGTCCTACTGACACCCAACAAGAGATAGAGTGCTTTAATCTCCATCTACTTAGTGTCTGGAAAATATGACTTTCTTTTTTTTTATTGTTTCTGTTAGCTTTGTTTTATTGTAAAAGAAAACAAAGACGTATGAATATGATGTCAAATATTTCATTAGATCAGATTTGGAAAATAAAAACTGCATGTTATGAAGATAAGATGGTGCAACATTAGAGTTCAAAGCAAGGAATGTCATTAGAATGTCATCGTTCTCTGGTCTGGTTAGAGGAATAGACTACTGAAGACAAAGTGCAACACATTTAAAATACTTTTAATGCACTCGTATCTAACCTGTGGGCCATAATCAGCAAGCTCAAAACACGCATAACCAGTTCTTTTGCAAAATGATTCTCTTTTGAATTTTTTTCTTTTTACCTGCTTAGCAGAAATTAAACATGCATTCTTTTCTATGAAAAAGAATATTTTAGAGCCCAAATGGGGTCCCAGAGGTTTGCCGTACTATAAAAGAATTTTTCACTTTTCTAACTTTCGGTCAAATGTTTTAATTTTTGTTTATTCAGAAAAAAAAAACATTTATTTGCAGCAACACAAGTAAGATGTCAATGTGAGTGACTGAGTCTGATATTGAATAAAATATCAATGGATGTTTGTTGCCCTGTTCACAAAGAAATGAATATTTAAACAAAAAAAATCGGACTTTCAAAAATGTGTTTTCGAAAGTTTTTCTGTTTAAGAAGATAATTCGTCCATGAAATTGCATTTGATAAAACAAAGAAAAAATACAACAAAAGTGTCCATCTGCATTCACTCTAGTTTCTGGAGGGCTAAATGTGTAAAATAGTTTGTTGTTGTTTTTTTCAAAATGTATTCCTGTTATAGCACCTCTGACTTAACCAATCAGCCTGAGATAGTATTTTTTTCTCATCTAATAAACTCTAATAAACTCTAGCAAGAACTGAACTGTTACATTGCATTTTAAGACATTGCTTACTTAAAGTCAATATTAAATCTAAGAATTTAATTTTAAGTATCTGCCTTCAGGTTCTGCTTACTGTCCTTTATCATCGTGTTTCTTTTTGACAGACAGTCAGTCAGCTGGAACATGAACTAATTATACACATCATGCTGAAACTGTAAACAGCCAGGTGACTCCAACATTAATCTTTAAGCCGAGTGGCACGCGGCTTACAAGCACAGACCTGCTACCACCGTGTCATTCTGGAATCTGCACAGATGCCTCATTTACTGTTTGCTTGTTATACTTTTTGTATGTCTGCATAAAGTGACTTCTCTGTTTGATTATTTACTTTGCTCTGGCTCACTAAAACCAGGCAGACACAATACAATGTAAAAATGTTTATCACAAATATCTCAAATTCAGTTATATTGATTTGCATCGATCTAAACCTCATTGGTCTGGTAGAAAAATATTATTAATGGTGACAAAAATAGCTCCGTTCACTGGGTAAAACATATTACAAAGACACGGATGACACTGACGACCCCAGCTATCCACAGAGTGTTTGGATCCCCAAACAGGAACACTGCTGACTCTGCTGGTCCCTCTGGTCAATATCCTGCACATATAGTACCGTTTATTAGTGACTTTGCTAAGATTATCACCATTAACAATACATCAGCTACATCTAATGAGGAATTTTCTATACAGAGCTAAAACTGAATAGTCCAGCCTAAAAGTCTTATTAATGTGATAGCTTTGTTTGATTTCAGCTTTGATTTAAACATTTTAGATGTGCAATACAGGTAGAACAATCACAATTTATTTTTCACAACCATAAGGGTTAAGCAGGTCTTGCAGTGTTCACTTCACTTCAATGAGTAGGAATACTATCCTATTCAAACAGCAACTCTCACTATCTAAGTCCATCTATTGCAGTGCAGTATTATGGGGGGAAATGAAAAAAAGTAATTAAACAAAATCTATGTATTGATTCCTACCGGGTTGCAGGGGGTGGTTGTTGTAGCAGAAGCTAGTGACCATCTACCAGTGGTCATTGAAGGGCACCCTGGGGAGGTCTAACAAAAACACCATAATGTGCATTAGTATAAAATACTTTAAAATTAAAACTTCTTTTCGCTTCTTATGGTTACTTACAAAACATGTATGATGCTCGTTATAACAAGTATTGTATATATTTATTCTATTACTACAAGAAAAGCTGCAATGGCCAGAGACCTCTTTAGCAATTAGCTTTTTAGATTGTTTTATCTACCTCCTATCTTGCTCACTTTGGTGATAAGTTACATAAAGTTTTGCTCTGACTATATGAAGTTTAGCAATTAGTATTTTCTTATCACCAGCTCCTGGCTTATGAAGATCAACACATACCTTACTTGAAAGGCATGTTTTCTTTGTTTTGCTATTTAGAACACTGACTGAGACCAATGAGTCACTTCGTTTCATGATGTTTTTACCCTAGGAAAACACAGGCTAGTGTGGTTTTAAACATCTTGGTCTAGGGCGTCCTTGAAAATAAAAAATTCCAATGATAAGTATGTTTGTACATGAATAAAAGCTAAAGACGTTATAATTTCTCTCTTAGATCAAATCTGAAGGACATCAACTAGTCAGTGAAAGAGTCACGGCCTTCGCTCGCCCACGTGACCAGCGAATGAGCCTTGTTCATGCGTCTCCCTGCGTGCCACTCCCCAATCGTCATGAACTGTGAGCAGGACTTCGGAGATGGGGGCTTGGGAGTGACCCTCACACTACGACTGCTCATGCACGGAAAGGTTAGTCATGAATAAATGTATGCTGGGAGCCAGTTTGTCAAAGCTTTATAAATAATAATTTTCTCTCCCAATCTTGGGTTATGTTTTGCCTGTATAAAAATTATATTTAACTATTTTTTCTCTTTGTGTGTTCAGGAAGTAGGCAGCATTATAGGAAAGGTGAGAATTTTTCTATTATTTCTATCCTAACATGACAAAGTGGTTCTCTTCAGATAGGAGGGAGGGAGGGAGGTAGGAAGGAAGGAAGGAAGGAAGGAAGGAAGGAAGGAAGGAAGGAAGGAAGGAAGGAAGGAAGGAAGGAAGGAAGGAAGGAAGGAAGGAAGGAAGGAAGGAAGGAAGGAAGGAAGGAAGGAAGGAAGGAAGGAAGGAAGGAAGGAAGGAAGGAAGGAAGATAAAGCTTTATTTATGCTTGATGTCTCTGCGAGATCCATGCGGCCAGAGGGAGAAAACGAGGAAGGAAGAAGATGCGAAAAAAAAAGAAATACATGTAAAAAGATTAAGATGGAAAAAAGAATTTGAATTCAGAATTTAGACACGTAAAAAATAAGATTTTTTTATCACATCCTTATTTGGTATTTATGTTTTTTAGAGCTGGAAAAATGCCTTCAAATTTAAATAATTTCCAAACTAAATTGGAACCCTTGATTGAAACTGAAATCCTTGAAAAACATTTCTCTACATATAGATTTGTTTTGTTTCACCAAAACCCAGCAACAACCAGCTGTCACTCTGAATATCCCCAACCAAAATATAATTGCATCCATCCAACCCTCTTTATACCCCATCTACTCTTCCCATAAAGCACCACAGTAATCCATCAAACAAAACCATTAGTCCATTGACCACAAGCCTCTTGTTGAAACCAAGCTCCGAAGATGTATTAGCGTTGGCCCCTTGTGGGCACTTTGAACGTCTGCCAGGAAAGGTGAGTCGGTGGTGTGCTACTTCAGCTGCTCCCCTCTGAGTTTAACTCTTAAAAGGCATCATTGGGATGAAAAGAAAAAAATATATCCAGCTAATTGGAAAGAAAAGACGTCACAATGGATGAGAAGTGGCAGGAAACACTATCAACTACGAAAGAAGAGAGGGGTGGATATAAAGTGAGAGGAAGATGATTCTGGTCTGCAAAGTGCACATTGTCAGAGTGAAGAACTCGATGTGGAATAGTTGTGCTGATAGAGAACGTCTCCACCCTTCCCACCTCACCATAACAATAATCTCTTCCGCATCAATTAAGGACCAACAAATATATTGCAAATATATATATTCCTGGGAACAAAAAAATGACACATTTGTTGAACTGTTAGATGATGCATTTGTTGATCTTAATGGACAGAATCAGACTATGAAGTGTGAATAGCTTGGAAGGACTTTACCCCATACAAAGTGAAATGGAGGAAAAGAGGTAGTCAGAAAAAAACAAGGAGTCTGTGACACAAATCTGTCATAAATACTGTTTTTGCCTCGCAGGTGCTCACACAACAAAGTTTTTAAAGCAGAATGGATTTACAGTGTCCTGCTTTTTTTTGTCAATAAGTGCAAAGTGGAGGCATGATACATTGGTTTCACAGTTTTGCACCGATAAAGATTTCTAAACAGTTTTGTAAAGCACGGTTCAGTCCATTATTGGTCATAGGGAAGACAATGGCACAACTGTATGCCTACTTAGACATGGAACAAAAGAGCATTAATGAGATATGCAGTCAAGAGACACATGATAAATCTTGGGGAGCAGCAGAAATTCATTGCTCAGGTGGGAGAGTCTAACAGGAAGAATGCATGTCATGCACTTTTTTTAAAATGATACTTATGAAGAGTTGCATGAACAAGGCTGTTCAAAGAAACTCAGGAATAATGTCTGTAGTTTACCAATATGACTTCCTCTAGAGCTATAGCAAACAGATGAAAATATATACTTTGGGATACTTACGTTTCTTGTAATCTGTAGTGATTTAAATTACATGTAATTTAATGGAAATCATTTCATTATGCTTTTATGAATCCTTTATCCTTATGCACTGCAGATTGAACCTCTTGATTGATTTTTTTTATTTTTACTTGAGTTGAATATGAATTCTTTGAGTTTAGGGACATTGTTATGCTGATACTGAATCATGTTTTCCTTATTTTAAAGCTGCACCTCATCTTGTCTTTTTCAGAAAGGAGAAACTGTGAAGCGAATACGAGAAGAGGTAAAGTGTCCACGATTTAGAACATCAAAGTACATCTGATTATTTTTTCTTTGACAACGTTGTTTTCAACTCTGCAGCCTTATGTTTTGGGTTATGCCAGATCACAGACTGCAGGTCCTTGAATGAGCAGCTTTTACTCTGTGACTTTTATTCACATTTTAATACTTTCTCTGTCTCACAGGGAGCGGAAAAGCGTTCCTAACAAATATCTTGCTTGAAATTCCTTTGGGGTAATAATAAAACATTTCTGATCTAAAACTATTCTCTCCACTCTCCCAAAGCAGAATTTGCCAAATCCCTTTCGCCTTTCCTTTTCTTAATTAAAACAGCCAACATTTTTTTCTGTGCTTGTCCCCTGATTTTTCTCTTTATGAATCTCAAGGGTGCAGGAAAACTAATACCGCTTGGTTAGCTCTCAGTATTAAAAAGTAATTAGTCTGACACTCATGGCAGCATTTTTGATTCCTTCACTACTGAAAGTGTTTTACGCTGTGCTTTATGAGGCAGAAGTATAAACAGAGGAACGGTGAAGCCATTGGACAGGGCAGCTCTACAGATCTGCAGAATGAAACAGTCAGCATGGTAGCCTTCCAGCTATCCACTCATGCAGTGTTGTTTCTGTAAGAGCCTCACTCTTAGCCATGTCCTGAAACTTTAAAATGACAGTGGGGACAATTACCTTGAAAAAAAACAACGTTCAAAAATCCAGAAATATCGTAATAATCAGTAGAGATCAGAGTCTTTAGACTATCTTATTTAGTCTCATCTTCCGTTTATATTTTTTAAAACCTTTTCCAGTCAGAATTTTAATAAGTACATTAAGATTATTGCTTGAATTTCCATGGACTTAAAAGCCTTTAATGTCTAAATTAAGGTTTTTATTAAGGATAGCAAACAAAATCCAATTTGGTGACTCCATTCTACCTAAATGCTAAATATCCTGCACCCATGGTCTATGTCCTTGTTGTGTTGCAGGGCTTAGGGTCAGGCCTATCTAATGCTTTAATTTGGGCACAGTCTGCACAGGTTGGCAGTCACAGAGACACACGGGACAAATAGCCATGTGTGCACATGCTCACTCTTGAGGGCTACTTAGAGAGACCAGTAAACCAAATATGTATACTTTTGGACTGTGCGAAGGAGCCAAAGTGCCTTGAAAGAACCCAGGCATGCTGGCAACCAAGACAACCCTTCGTGCTGCAAGGGAACAGTAAAACTAACTGTTCCAACTTTCATCTCCTAAAAAAAAACAAGTTTGGAAAATGCCAAAAGCTTTATTTTTTGGTCATTTAATTTGTAAAATCTTGAAGTTATAACACTGATTGTCAACTATGCCACCTTTAGACTTTTATGTTTGGATCAGTACTTTTTGGCATTTGAACTACACTAGAATTAACATGATTAAGATATTACTAAGAAATTTAATTGTGCAAACAGTGAAAATCTAACATCTTTGGATCTTCATTAAGAAACATGGATCTGTGACTAAAAATGTATATTTATTGTTTAACTCCCATCAATTTCTTAATTTAGAATTACTGGTCAACTGCTAACAAAGCTTAACAAGAAAGACATAAATCAGATTTTTTTTGCATGTGAATAAAAAATAAAAGTTGTATTTGCTTTGCTTTGGAAATATTAAATTGGAGGGCAAGGATCTTGCCCTGTATAACCTGAATGCTGCCCAAAACAAACATATAATAAAGCTCAGAGAAAAATTATAGAGAGGTAACAGACTGGAATTAGTATAAATAAGATTGCTATTTAAATACGATTTGGGAAAAATATGGGAAGGCCTCATCTGATGCAGAAAATTGTGATATTTTGGTAATTTTTTAGAAATTAACAAGATAGGGTAGTGGAAGCCAGACAACAAGTAAGACCCCTCCTTTATGCAGGACACTGCTATCTTACCAGATATTACTCATCTACGTTTACACAAGAGGTGGGGTTTCTCTTTTCTAAGTTGAAATTCTCCAAAGATGTAAAAAAAAAAACAAAAACAAAAAAAAAAAATTACTCTGCTGCCTTCCCACATAATCTTTTAACACACAATCACTTGTCTTACCCTTCATTGGAAGGACAGTAGAGTTGCTCCCAGATTCGCATCATTGGCTTGAAGGTAACGTGGGAATGACCTCTTCCGTCTGCTCCACAGAGCTGTGCACGTGTCAACATCTCAGAAGGCTCCTGTCCAGAGAGGATCATCACCATCACTGGCTCCACAGAGAGTGTTTTCAGAGCTTTCACCATGATCACATACAAACTGGAGGAGGTGGGTGTCACACATTCAGCACCTCTAAAATTTACTGCTAATGCACTCATTTTCTGAGGAGTTACAGGAGAATACAAATTAAGATAAGAGCAGCAAGGGCTTGCAGCAAGATTTTGCCATAGTCGTAGTCATAATAAATAAAAAGTATTTTTAAAGTCTGGTAAGTAACCAAATCTATATTCAGTACATTATAACAAGATATCGCCTTACAGATCAAACTTATCCATATTAGAGACACTTGGAACAAGGTACAGTGCCTTGAAAAGTAATTCCTAATTTTTTTTAAATATTGTGTAGTCTTTAAAGCTTTTTATTAAGATTATGTGAGATGGACCAACACAATAGAAAAAGTAGCATTTTAAACAAAGCAAAAATAAGAAGACAAAAGATAAAATCCACCATTCATATAAGTAAAACAATGCATTTTTCAATGCCCCTCCCAAAATGGCTACACCGGAAAACTAAGACAGCAGTGCCATCTGAGGAGCAGAGGAGCTGTGTTTATAAAGAACTCAAAACTGACCTTCAGTGAGTAGAAACGTAAAAATAAAATACAGGCATTTGTTGATATTAACAATAAGGTCTGTAATATCTAAAATAATCTATTTTTTTACCTGAATTTTATATGTGAAGGAGAGGACAAGCATTGCGTGTTTCTAAGCACAGCATGGTGTGTGAACTGAGACTGACGGAGGCTGAAAAACAAACGCCTTCAACAATTCATTTCAGAAGTACAGTGGATGGTACTTTTTCACACAAAATCCATGTAAACTATTCCATTTTGTGGTTGCTAAATGCCAAACTAATTTTTGCATTCTTTTATCTGCTACTGTAAGGGTGTAGATGTACAATATAGAAATAAATCAGAACTTTTGTATAGAGATCACATTGGGGTTTTCCATACCAAAATCAAAAGGTAATAAATGTTAATTTTGGCTGAAAACGCAACTAATTCAACAAATTTGTACCTACAAATGTTGTGCAATTGTACGCATCTGATTAGAGCGCTGTGCATACTCCCGCCGCAGTGTGTCACAGTTAGGGGCTGCTTATACTCCCGCAGCGGTGTGTGACAGTTAGCTTGTTGCAGGTATGATGCAGATATTTTTGATTTCTGCCCAGTTTTGAAGTGTGGTTTGCGCCATGTTTTTCCACGCCACAATTGCAAGAGGGTCAATCATTAGCTAGGATTGTGGGTGTCCGTGTGTTGGTTTGACAAGTTTCTTCATCGTCTACAACCCCTCATCCAACGCCGGACAAAACACAGTTTACCCGTGAGTGTTCCCGAAAAACTGGCCGTGGCGCTGCGTGTTTAAGCTTCAGGTGGAAACCAAAAGACCGTCACACAGAGCTGCAAACTAGCATCCTGTATGGTGTCTGGGATAGTGTCAGAAGTGTGCGAGGCGTTGTGGACGGCACTACAGCCAGAGTTTCTGCCATTAGGTACCAAAGAGGAAATACGCATAGTGTAGAGTGGATGTAGAATTGACCGTTCAGAGGCCTCCTTTCTCTCCTTCCTGCAACACTATCTGCGGCACTGTCTGCGGTCACCTACAATTTTGGGGAGGTGCACCTGATTGTCTGCGGAAGGTGGGGGAGGCATATCTGCGTTAACTGCAAACACACACAGACAACCTAGTTTCTGAGCATAAACCAGGCATACAGCTTCACAGAATGGTGACAGTCCATCACATCATTAATTAATTTGGGAAAATCTCCCCTAAGGTTAGGTCTCTCAGCATCTACTGACAAGTAAACAGATACCATGGTCGACATCCTCCAGTTAAAATACACACACTACAGGAGCACTGTGTGGTTTTTATTACATATCTTTCACATTCACCTCATTGCATCCCTGAAACTCCTCAGTTTCCATGGCAATGCTCTGCCACTGCCCACTGTTTGCTGTCTACACTGTATTGTTGGGTTATTGAATGCCCGACACCTTTAATTAAAAACAAAGACAAAAATCTTAAGTTTTTCATACCAATTATTAAAATATACCCTTCTTTCTGTCTTTTTTTTTAAACTGCAGTATTAGCTAAATCATTACTCTTATTTTGCTGTTGAGCAATAATAAAACACTCAGTAACCTGAATAAACATATTCACTATGAAGATCCCTCCAATGCATACCTTAGATTAGCTATAGATTAGAATGGCTTGCAATAGCTGTCACCTTTGCTTCAAGAGCCTTAATTTAACATGAAATCAAGATTTTTAGGTTATAGAGATATAAGATTTAGATCAAATCAAGAAAATGTAACCCAGAGTGTTATGATGGGAAGGAAGGAGGTGCGTGTTCCTCATCTAATGAGACGAGACGTCAATAGACCCTGATCCGTCTTACTAAATATAGACACGGAGCAGTGAGGCACAACAGGCTCATCAAACATCCCTTTAAACTTAAAGTTCAAAGTTATTAAAAATGTTGTGTGTTTTCTTTCTCGAGTAAAACTCCCTCAAGGGTACGCATCCGCAGCTGTCCCCGTCATGAGTCAAACTCGTTTAAATTCACAGAAAACTGGAACAAACACAAACAGTTAAACGAAAAAAAAAGTCCTCTATTTTCATACCTATTTGAAGGTAGGGTAGTAAATTTACATATTAAGTGTTTAAACCTCAAAGACAGTAAAGAGCAAACAGTTTAAAATTAAAACAAAATACAAGTCTGCATTTTTACTTCCGTTTTTAGATATTAGCATTAGGCAAGTCTTTTTTTAGCCTTTTTTAGTTTTTTAACTAGTATTTGTAGAGATTTGCTAGCTGTGTCAAGAGTTTCCTGTTAGTGAAAGGGAAATGTTCCTAAATTTTGTGTTATTTTCCATCATTTCTGAGGCCAAGATATAGATACAGTCAACTGGAAGAATAAATATCCTTTACTGTCCCACATTGACGAAATTCCTAAATAAGGTATGGAGGACACTTTAGACTTAAACATGATACAACCCATCGTCTACACTTCTAATACTCTGTCAGTTTTGTTCATGTCCATCACTGTGAGGTTTGGCCCATTTTCAAACAGGATAGGTCCCAACTACAATGAACAAATATGTCTGCAGGATCATCAGGTCTATCCTTCCTGGACATGTGTCTCTCTGACAAAAACAAGGTCATCAATCGAAAGAGTCTAGAAAAGGGAGCAGAGGACCTTTGTTACTCTGTAGAAGCAGCAGCAGAAGAAACATGGAAAAATGTGCTCTGGTGTGATGAGACTTAAATTAAACTTTAGCTTAGAGGAAAACTTACAAAAAAAAGACTGGGAAATAACTGACATTAACATTTTTAGATTCTTAAAGAATTTAAAGTACTTAAAGCATTTTCCTTCTACTTTACAATAAAACAGCCCCTTGTGTTGGTTTGTTTTATAAACAGTTAATAAATGTATTTACTTATAAATGTGATGTGAAATAATCAAGCAACCTCAAAGAAGAATGAAAGTTGTTTTGTTTTTTTACCAAATGCTGTAAATTCAAAACTTAGGGAGATAAATTTTGGCTTAACTCTTTGTTGTAACAGACTTACACAGTATGTGGTTCACCTTTGCTATACTGAATTACTATGGCAACTTGCACAATGTAATGGTACTAGCATGGACACAAATTAAAGCACCACCTTCCAACAAATCAATACAGCTAGAATGTAAGAGGTAAAAAATACATCTGTGCCTGAAAAGAGAGACTCATTCAGCTTAACTGATTTATTTTATTATTATTATAAAAAAAAGTATTTTTTATGCTAGAACTAATTTCTTTTCCTTTAATATAAAAGAAACCCTGCTAATTTTATGCTTTTCTTCAATTGTTTGTACATAGTGCAGCAGTAACTAAATCTGGGGAGACTCACACAGAGAAAAGAAGCAATAAGAAAGATGTTGACATGAAGGAAAATTAATTCTTTGGAGCTCAGACTCCGGCAGAAGACAATATGCTGTAAGTTGTCATGAGCCTGGATGAATAATTAAGAAAGATTTGTAGGCCGATTACATCATAGTGCGACACCAAAGCCTGTTCGGACTCCTCCTTATGCGTCCCACAAATGCAGCCTTCTTTTTGCCAGTTTTGAAGGACAGATCTGGTGTATCGTACATGGCCTTGGATATCTCATCACTCATTGTGAGTCCAAGCAAGCTGGCTGCCCCGAGGAAAACTTTAAAGCTGCAGTCTGTTACATTGAGAAGAGAGCAGACTTCGACTGAAAATTTTAAGAAAAACAGGTTTCACGCCACTCCCCCACCCTCTCTGCTTCACTCATGCCCCACCTCCAAGCTCCACCCCTCTCACAGCATCTGCGCGGCTACCGTATGCGACCAGAAGCGTCCAAGCAGCATACGTGGCAGCTCTTCCATTTTCATCTTCTTTTTTGAAGTCTTTGCCGTGTAAGCAGTTGTCGGCAGGGGCAGTAAGGGCAGTTTCTCTTTCGCTGGTGGCTGTCGCTCCCCCATGACTTCCACGCGCGTCCTCCTGACTGCGGCAGCCGGGCGGCAGCGGCAGGTTCAGCGGTGAGAGGGAGGGGGCGGGATTCAGCGTGTGTGAGCTGTGATTGACACTCCATCAGATGCTCCTCTGGCTGTGATTGGTTGTTTTGTCTCGTCCCGAAATATTCTTTCCAGATTGCAATACAGGCAGTATGCGGGACCAATTGAAGCAGTTTTTTTCACAGGTTACATATCACATGTACTGCTGTCTGGGCATAGGGACAGTTTTAGCCAATATGACAAAAAAGTGATTTTTAAAAACTTACAGACTTCAGCTTTAAATGGGGCTGAACAGTGGTGAATTTTGCAAGTGCAGTTTAATATAATTGAATAGTTCGGTCTGAAGTTAATGAAAATATTTTTTAATGGTTATTTAGTCAGATATGTGGAGGGTCATGTTTGGTTTATTGAAAGATCTTATCTGTCCCTGTGCAAATGAGTTTGGCTGACATTTAAGCACAGATCCTGATATCTGGTCAGTGTGGGGACTATAAATCTGATATTCGTAACAATGGTACTGCTGCTGAAGCTCCTCAAAATGTTATACGGTCAAAGTTCAGCTGAAGCGCTGAATGGGGAAGCTGGACCTTTGTCTTAATGAAGTGTGTCATGAGAAATGATTGGCTTTAAAGAGGGAGCAGTCTGTTTTCAATTGGTTGAAGCTTGAGCGAGGGAAGTCAGCAGGTATTCTAGGTTAGGCTGATAAAAAGTCTTCTAGGTTGAATTTCCGCTTAAGCTCCATATCAATGCTAAATTCAGTCACATGCTACTTGTATGTATTTCTACTGTTATATGTCTGTTTATCTACATGATATCACTATTATGATTACCTGTATTCCCATCAGTAAGGTAAATAGCCCCCATCAGAAAATTATCAGCATTTAAACTTTTATAAAGCCTGTCAGACTTACTTTTTGGTATTCTGATTTATATGAACAAAGAAAACTGTATTTTTCTTTGTTTTTGTCATTGGAAAAACAACAAAGGTCAAATTATTCAACCAAAGTCTTGGAGCACAGAGTTTGTTTTTTTGTTTTTTTTCTTTGTTTGTTTTTTTTTTAAATCAAGCGCTGATAATGTAATTTTTTTTAATACAATATTTTATTTTATTTTTTACTGTGAGTGGCAAGTAATTGCAGCCTTTATTTCCACCAGTGGCTAATTTAACTGACTAAAGGCAGAGGAACTGCTTGTTCTGTCATCAATAACTATAGGTAAAGAATTGCAGTCAGCTCACCAATTGAGCCTATTTGATAATAGGATCTAGAGGTGCTCTTTTTATTTTAACCTTTAAAATCAATCAGCCATCAGCATTGCTGTCCTGTCTCCGAATGAAAATGGGTAAACAATAATTCCTTCGATTTTATTTAAACAATTTGTTGCTCTTTACTATCTAAAAAGGCCTCAGACCTTGACGAGTGTAAGAAAATCTAAGTATTTGTTTATATAATTACCTTAAAATGCTCTAGCTTTGCTACATATAGAAATACTGTTCACATTGGCACTCTATATCTAATCTTCTAAAATGTTCTTCATAGATTCAATCTCAGTCATCAGATTTGTTCAGATCCCTTTTTCCCCAAAGTCTGAAGTTCTGTTACAGTTTCTTCTTTTGTTAAAAGTTCTACAATTGAAATACATGTTAAAAATGTCATGAAAGACAACAAGAAGAGAGACCAGATTCCTTCCGAGCCTCCTGGGAACGCCTCTTCCTGCATATATGAAGTCAAGCACAAATTCAATTAAAGCAGCTGCTTGGTTGCCTTTACCTGGGACTATATATGGCTTGTCCCAAATGGATACCACAGGCTTTTTTTGTTATTGGAGGGTTGCTTCTGGAAACGGTTTCTGCCTCTTATTTGCTCCTTTCTGCTGTTTTATCATTCGTGTACCCTTTCTTTCCACAAAATCTCTCTGCAGGACCTGAATGCACTGGTAGCCAACGGAACCATAAGCTCCAAGCCTCCAGTCACTCTTCGGCTGGTCATCCCTGCCAGCCAATGTGGCTCTCTTATTGGGAAAGGAGGCGCGAAGATAAAGGAGATCAGAGAGGTGAGAAATGTATCTACTGCACAAAACATATGAAATATGTAAAAAACAAACCAGTTTTTGAAAATGTGTGTCAGACTGCAGCTGGAGGCTAGAGAGCTTCATTTTTGTTTCATTCTTCTGCTTCTTGGCTAAAGTCCTTCTAGTTGAAGGAGTAACATGCAAATAGAAAAATAATGTATTAGCATTTCAGTTTATGTTGAGTTTCACATTAAAAGGCAAGAGACTTATAATAGTTTAATTTATGGATTTTGAATAACCAGTTATAGAGCTGCACTGTGGGACAGTTTTTGCAATGTAATCTTTTACCATGAAGGTGCTGGCTTTGAATCTCTATCAGTGCCTCTCTGCATCTAGTTTGCATTCTGCACCTGTGGATGCATAGGTGCTCTATAGATGCTTCAGCCTACTACTACAATCAATTCTCACTATTGTGTATCTCTGCTTTGACCTGTTTTTGATTGGGGACCTGTTCATGATATGTCCCCCCTTAACCTGTTACTAGTGAATATAAGCACTGTTGGCCTACAACACTGCAATTATTAGCAGGTTTGGACAAAACTATATTGGAAGGTGTTGGTATCAGTGGCATAGTGTAAATGCTTGGATGTAGCCCCAGAACCTGCACAGAGGAACAGGAAAAAGGGGGCAGCATGCAGTAACATATGCTTTAATACAGCACTGAGAGAACAGTCATTTGCTTTACTTGTCAGGTGATTGGATGTCTTAGAGACTCCCTTCAAGTCAACAGGTTTCCCATGGTTGTCTAGATCATGTTTCATTATTATAAAAGCTTTACGAGAGTGAGGTGGTGGCTTAGAGGTAGAGCATGCAGCCCATGTATGAAGATATCTCTTTCCTCAGCATGACTGTCGTGGGATCAGGATTTTCCCTAGATTAGGAGTGGGAATACTTAACATGGCAAAACTTTATAGAAGTGGGATTGTAAATACAGGGGAGATGGTGAATTACTAGTTAGAGATTCTCTCATGATTCTCTTATCAATTCTTTGAAACAATGAACTTGGTAAGTGCGCGGTGACATTCGTCTACCTTCACCCACTGCATGAAAAGTGAGATTTTCGTCCCCGTAAACCCCCGTAAACTCCCGCAGATCTGCCTGATTTTCGTCAGTTTCCGACCATTTGCAACCCGTGCTTGTCGGCGTTTGTCGTACCACAAATTGTCGGAAACGGACTCTGACGTATGTGGAGAGCGATCAGCTGTACTAATGGCCCTAATTAGCATATGAATGCAGCAAACCCGCACGGCTGGCCAGGTCTGGCTTGAATAGCCTTCTCAGTATTGGCTGAAACCACTATTCTCAGACAAATGAAATCGCTCGTGATTGGCAGCAAAACCAAACGTGGCCACGCCAGGCTTTAATTTTCTTACTGAGTATTGGACGGAACCACTTCTTTTTAAACAAGTAAAGTCGCTCGTGATTGGTTGGCATATATATATATTTACATATAAATTTACATATATATATTTATTCACATATATATATATATATATTTATTCATTCATATATTTATTCATTCATATATTTATTCATTCATATGCTGTGTATTTATGTTATCCTACACTACTACACAATTATTATGCTACCATCAAGGACATGAATGAATTTATACAGGAAATGAACATTTGCCAGGAAGCTGTTTATGCAAAGAAAGAGCTTTATTAAAACACACACAACTATATACAACGCGTATCCAAACACATGCGTTTCTAAAAACTAAAAGTCTGTGAACGGTCCGTTTGCTTCCTCGGGGTTGGAGGTAACTGGCAGCATTCCCTCCGAGGCAGGTCCGATGTGCAGACGCCTACTGTGCATGGCTCTGTACTTCGGCATCGCTTCTAACCGGGACTGCAGCTTAACACATAGTTCAGTGAGATCCGGCCTACGAAATGGCGGCGACCGTACAAATCCGGAGTTCCACTTCCTCATCTGCTAGCACACTCTGCCTCGCTTTCAGCAGCTGAAAAAAAAAAACAATGAATCAGCGCACTGCGTATGGACACAACACATCTATTAATGCACCTGAAAAATAGTCACCAAATAAAGTCTTACCTTCTTTCTTCTGGCCCGACTCCAAGCAGATTGCCTCCGCACACAGCGTGTTGGCTGGCTGCGTATATCTGAAGCTCCTGCGTACCGTCTGAAAATACGTCTTACAGGCAGCTGGAAAAAATTAAATGAGAGTGGTATAAATAAAAAATCAAACGCAAGTCACAGTAACAAGGAAGGAGAAAACATTAAAACAAGTCACTTACACACAATGTCGTCTTTATCAACATCGTGCAAATCTGGACTTGCTGATATGGCTCCGAGCAAATAGGAGGTCACCGCCTCATTGTGAGGCGACAGTAGTCTGTGAAAACAAAATGTATGTCGGTATCTATCCGTATCCATTGCCTTTTACCGCAGAATGAAAGCATATTCTTTAAATCTTACCCTTGCTCCGGTTCATAGCGCCTGCAATTAGTCTCCGAGTTGTGAAGACGGCGTACTGCTTCCTGTGAATCACAAAAAATACACTTTAATAAAGCTTGTTCTTGCAAGGCTACTATTAGCGGTAGCTTAGGCTAGGCTACTATTAGCGGTAGCTTAGGCTAGGCTGCTTTTAGCCTAGCAGGCAGTAATCGAACATATATTTACCGCTAGCATCTCTTCTTTGAGTTCGTCTTGTTCGATGCAGAGTCGCCATCGCGTCCAAGAGGAGTTTTACCCCGAAATCCAGACGCTCCAGACCGCCTGCACAAAGCAAAGCATACATCCTCCACTATGGCTGCTCACCGCGCCGCTCTGAGTTTCTTGGAGATCGTAGAGCGCATGCGCGAGATGAACCAGGGTTTCCGCGGATCAATAAAAATAATTAAAAAATCATTCATTTTTTTTAAATCAAGGTCTTAATTGGCACTAAAATTATTTAAATATGTTTATCGAAGTATTTATAATTCTTTAATAAAAAATGCTTATAAAAACAATTTCGTCAGATATATTATATCGCTCCAGGCGGAGAAAAAGCTAGAGGATATATATATACGTATATATGTGTGTGTGTGTGTGTGTTTACATACATACAGGAGTCATGGAACTGTGCTTGCAGCTCCTTCATATTTCATGTACACTAATAACTTGTGTACATGGTTCTTGTTGATGGCATTAAAATCATTTCAAATAGCATTAAATTAGAGTCACTCATTCCTGTATGAACCCTGTGAGCACTTAATTTAATATGACATATTAAAAAAATCCCACCATCATCCAGCATATGTTCAGTTTCTGCCCAAATATATATTTATATTTTTGTAGATTTTTGTAACGGGGATAAGGATAAATCAAAACTGCTTTTTTTGAATGAACTTGTTCTCTTCTCCCAAACATCTCTTTTCATTCCTGTAATAAGAAGTTTCTTTTGAATGGATTTGATTAAAGTTTAAGTCCCTCGGTATAAAATAAATATTTTTATGGAGATGAGAAATCTGCTTCCTCGTTGGTGAATAACCAATAGTTTGGATCCAATCATTTAAATAAACGGTGTTAGTTTTTTTTTTTTATATATAAGAATTGTGCTATAATTTCTAGTCACCGATCTGTTGCTGCTATATTTTAATTTGACGAACCGGAATTTGTCGATGTTCTTTTTCCTGTTTGGTGCGATTGCAATTGCGGATCTTGACCTGGCCGGACCTTATGACCACAGTGTACCAATCTTCTGATGGCTACTTCCAACAGGATAATGCGCCATGTTATAAAGTGAATCATCTCAGACTCATTTCTTGAAACTTTTCCACTTAAGTTATTGTGAATTGAGCATATTGACAGACAACGTTTTATTTTTTATCTTAAATGCAATTTTTTTTTTTTTTTATAATTACTGCTCTAAATGTATTGCTCTGTCAGCTAAAGATCTGTTTTGGTCTCTATACTTTAATTAAATAAATCAATTCAAGCTAAAATGTAAGAGGCTATACTGAGCCTGATCTCTTTGTATCAGAGATTTCTTACCTTTTAGAAAAATGTCACTTGGAGTAAAACCCCCCCTGCAACCCTGATTTGCATTTGAATAGCTCACAGCATGTTCATTTACATGTTAAAGCCTCCCCTAGAATTCCATGGGGGGGAGGCATGGGGGGAACACTGCCTAACAAAGTCCACGTCAATTTCTGACAATTTATGGGAGTTTTCGGCGAAGCCTGCAAATTGTCGTAAACTGCCGCTAACCTGAAGTTCCACGACAATCTACAGTGCCGCATATTGACGAAAATCCTTCTTTTCATGCAGTGACCTGGGACATTCTATGTCTGCCTGCCTTGGCAAAAACAGAAGGCAGTGACCGGGAGCTGCCAGCCTCTGAGCTGAATTGATGGGAGAATTAAAAGGAATCGAATCGTTTCACAGAATCAATAAGAGAATCGATAAGGAATCGAATTGTTTCACATAATCGATAAGGGAATCAAAATCATGAAAATCTTATCAATTCCCAACTCTACTTACGCCTGGTCACGTCGTACTTGCTTTCTAAATGCCGTCTGCGTAACTTGCGTAAAAAACGTGACGTAAGATGTGCTTCCCGGCACTAGGCTCTGGTGCTGCCTGGAACCGTTAAGAGAATCGTTAAGCGGTACCATGGAATTGGAACACACGGAACCGGTTCTGAACAGGAACCGGTTTTCGATTCCCATCCCTGCCAGGGTGTATCCAAACCTCTTGCCCAATGACTGCGGGACTATTTTCAATTATTTCTATTTGTGAAGGCTTTCAGAAATCAGTGTCTGAAAGCCAAAGTTATCTCCCCTTGTTTCCTTTTGGTTCCCAGAGCTTTTTCTCACAGGAGTCATCCTTGGGTCATTGTATGTGTCTTTCTAAATTAGTATCCAGTATAATTTTTGAAATGTTTTTGTTGACTACATTGTTGAGGGTTGCATCCATATCACATTGGGAGCTTTATCAGCTCCTTATCTCCTCCAATGCAGTTCAGTGCACCTAATGCAGTTCTTAACAATACTTATTTATGTCGACACTGAGCTTAAAGATTAAGTCTAAATATTGAGTCGGTTTTTTCATATTGAGCTACTGTACAGTAACGTCTAACCAGCTAGAATACCCAGCTAGTCATTTTAAAGATGATTACATCTCCTCCAAGTCTCACAAAAAAGCAGTGGGGGAAAAAAATCTTAGGCTGCAGCTGGGTTACTTTTGCCTTGTGTTTTCTACAAATTATATAAAAACTTAAGTGATGTCATTACTAATAATGCCCCTTTTCTGTGCTTAAATGAAATTCACTTGATCTTTCCTAAAATTTTTGGTTTATTGGTAAGTTCAAAGCAAAGTATTTTTAGTTTTAATTACATTATCTTCAGTGAACACAGATAAAAATGTCCCCCATGCCCTCTAGTGCTGTTTGGAAGTGCTATACAATAAATTAACATTGATATGGCACTCCACTGGTCAAATGATTTATGAATTAAATATATTGCAATAAAAGGATGTAAAATTGAATTTATTTAATGTTATAGTTACTCATGTGTTTTGAGTGTTTAAGCAAATGTGTTTTAACTTTATATATATATTCATTTAAATCATTAAATTTTTGAACCATAAGTTGGGTATATGACTAAACATCTCTTAAACATTGATGACTTTTTCATTGTGATACAGTGACGATGCTTTTGGTCTCCTTCCCCAAATCCAGTCAAAGCAAAGAGGAAAGTCATGGCAGAGTCATCACAAATGGCCTTATCTCCTCAATCAGGCTAATCTTTTTATACCCTGTGTCATTTGCAGAACACAGGAGCTCAGATTCAGGTGGCGGGGGATTTGCTGCCAAACTCTACTGAGCGAGGTGTTACGATATCGGGGAATCAGGACTCTGTAATCCAGTGTGTCAAGCTCATCTGCACAGTAATCCTGGAGGTAGGAGGCACACTCTTCTTCTCTTTACTCATACTTAGCACAGCTTCCTGCAGCAGCAGTGGGAGGGTAACTGCTGCTGTGGACATGCAGTTTTGAAGTTACCCCTTATAGCTACTTATCCAACTGCAGCAATTGTTCACATATTTTAACTGGTAGCAAGACCTCCTTTTTATGTTATAAATCCTAAGAGTGTGCTGCATTAAAGTTGGAACAGCTACAGTGACACTCCTTATTTATGGTTGTCACACAATAGCAAAGGAGCAAATATCTCCTTTTTTTGGACATGGAGGGGAATGTCTGGCTCTGAGTTTAATGCTCTGCTCCTAAACGGCAGCGGTCTGCTCATAGGAAACAAAGTGGCCTGCAGCAAATTCTGTATACCTTTAGACAACAGCTCTCTTGTAAAATCTACAGGGCAGATAAAAGGAAAAACAACCCCAAGCTCTGTTTTCTCCCTGTGTGTTAATGGAGGCAAAAGCCTCTTTTTGTCTTAGCACTGCAGCTGGACCTGACTGACTAATTGCTAGTTTGAACCAGTTTTCTTCAAAGGCTTGTAACTTTCATTAGAATTCTGTTCCAGGGGCATCTTGCTTTTGGCTCTCTACATTTAAATTATGCAAAGTTATACAAAGCACTTTTTGTGACTGCTCCACATTTCCAACTAAAATCTGCATCATCAACACCACAGAGGCCTTATAAGAAGCACAACCTCATGTATGCTTTGTAATCTCCTTCTTTTATCAGTATTTAAATAATTTTATCTTGAAATGTCTGCATGTCATTGGATGTTTAGTCTAAGCCAAAATCGACGCCTCTGCAGAGTTTAATTTTGCATGACCCATAATAAAAATCAACTTTTATCCACATATTACATTTATTGCTGTGTTTTGTCAGTAAATCCCTAAAATTGTAAAAATAAAATAAAATAAGCGCAATAGTAAGGATCAGTATAAATGCAAATGCCTCCAGCATGTTTTTGCATTTCTTTCTAATACCTTGGTTCTTAACAGTAGCATTGTACATTAACACCGGTGACTTAACTTAGATTAGAGTCATTTTCTAGAAAAGTTTATTTATATTAATTTTGATTATTGTGAAATGCAACAAATAAAAACCCCAAAGTTAATTCGCAAGACAATAATAACACATACGACTAATGAGAGAGAAGTCAACCTATAAAAAAGTATATATACTATAGAAAAGTATATATACAGTACTGTACAGCATCCCTTGAGATGGTAAGAGAAACAGCATTGCTTTAAAAGGGCACTTAAGAGCCTCTTGACAATACTACATAGTTTCTCTATGGAATTTAGCTCAGGTCAGTATGCTGACAAATGAACCACAGCACTACTATGGTCAATAAATGTAGTAGTATCTCTATCAGGTAGGGTAAGTGCTGAGTCCTGTAGATAATTAGTCATCTTTTTATAGCTCATCAAGAGGGAAGCAAGAAGTGCTCTAATATATCCTACATTAGGTAATTATTGCTCTGACTTTAGAATTGAGAAAACATGTTAGATCAACACCATCAGATCACATGGCTCAGTATCAGTTTGTAATGAATCAGCCTTTCAATTAACTATTATGGTTTACCTTCTTTAGGCTGTGACATAGGCTGCTTGTTGAACAGCTGTAAAGACAGTTCAGTTTTTAGCACAAATGCATTTCTATGATTGATGCAGCATGAAGCGGTAAAATAAATTCAGCTTCCTTTATATTCCGATAAAATTCAATGCATGTGTCAATAGCCATTGTTACACAAACATATATATAAAGATTTCAGCCTCTGATATCTTGCTTTTACTCCTTAGTCTCCACCAAAAGGTGCCACTATTCCCTATCGACCGAGCCTATCACCAGCTGCTCTGCTCATTGCCGGAAACCAGGTATGCAATAGAATGTTAACTGGCTGTGAACATCTGATCAGATGCTCACAATAACATAACGTGAGTTCAGACTGTGGTTCACAGAAAGTCAGTCCCAATTAAAACTGGCTTTAATAAATCTGTTTGATGTAAAATCAGCCTATTTTAAAACAGCTGTTGGAGGTTTTTGGCCATAGATTAAATCACTGGAAAAAATTATGAGACTTCTTTCTTAAAAATAGAAGGGCTGTAGTCAGCATATTCTAATTTATTAACCAGGTCATATTCTTGACTGCCCCTTTAAAAAAAAAATAAAAATCCAATACTATATAGCATTGATATTGCATATGGCATGGATACCAAAGTTCTACAATTTGTATTTCTACTCTCTGTATATTGTGCTTTTTTTAAAGTCTCTCAAAGTTTACTATAGGAATATAGATAATGAAGTATTAATTGACAGAGTATTCATTTTTTTATGAAATATGTCCTTTCTTGCAACCAGGAAGTAAGCACCTTCATTGGGATGCCGCCTCTTCCCATGTAGGTGTTGCCTATTTAATGACATCATCATATCATGCCGCTTGAGGCGATTTGGTTCCTGTAGGGCTAAACAAAGTCTGCATCCTGGGGAGTCAAAAACACACTTTCACACAACATTAGCTACAACAACAACTGTTGCTGTCACTGTGCAGATGGAGTGCTAAAAGAGTCCCCTTATTTTAACTTTTTGAGGAGAAATAATGGTGCTCTGCCATAAACCATCGCTCACTGATGGGAAAGTAGACGTTTGTTTACTTGCCAGGCACTGGGAGGTTAAGGTTGTTGCTTTTGGGGCGGGTACATGCTTTCCTATGTTTGACATTGATGGTCGATAATATTTCCAAGTCAGAGAGACCCTACTACTCAGAGAGCAGAACTCATGATTACTCATGCATGAATCCAGTAAAATAGTGTTTGGGCTTAATTCCAATTAAGGAAAAGCTGTATAACATTTAAAAGCTCAAAGGTTGATTCTGCATGATATATTGTAGGCCCTGTCAAAGTTGTGGCATCTTTTTTTCCCCTTTGGATTAGACTTCCTAATGACTAAGGAAACAATGCCAATCTGTGTTTTAGATTTGAATTAATTAATGAAAGAATTAATAAAAAAAAATACAAAAACAGTACTTTGAGTCTTGTGTTAGATGTTTTTGCGGTTTATTTGGGTTAGAACTGCTCTGAAAGTAATTATTTCCTGGCAGTAAAACAGAGCATAAAAAGGAGAACATAAAAAGGTTAGAGGTGAGCCAATGATATTAATAAAGGGTTAGGGCTTTGTATTTTTATCTTGTCTTTGGATGGAAACATGTGTCATTACAGAGCATGTAAAATATTTCTAGTTTCCCCTTAGCCTTCCTATAGAATCATAACATTATTCCTTTTCATCTGATTCTTTAAGTACACCTGTTGAAGACAACAATCCTATCACAGGTCGCTAGTGGGTGGTAGCATAAATTTTTTGAATGTTGAAGCTCTAAAGATGCTGCTGTTTGAAAAGGTGCAGATATCCCCTGCCCACCCTCCTCCCATGGAGCGAGTCACAAGATTAGCAAGTGAGTCTGGAGGCCTGCCGTCTCCTCTGGCTACAGCAGTAGCCAGATACTTTGAATAGCTGTCAGCAGTCCTGACACAGTTTGTGCTGCTTCAGACTCAAGTCAATTGACAGAATGGCTCTGTGTTTTTGATATTCCTCATAATAGGCAATAAAATTAAACCCGGGGCACTACGTCGGCCACCGAGAGGAGGCTTTAATGAAGGCTGCACCATGATAAGGATGCATAAAGGAGGGAAATGAAATAGGCTGGGGAAGTGTCTCTGGAATGAGTCATAGCCTATAAGCCTGTTATGTGTGTGAAAGTGTCAGAAATGCAGGCCATCGCACACCAAATTTGATATGTTGCAACAGCCTAGAGTAAACTAAATATTTAAGGCTTCTATTCATTATTCACATTTCCAACTATTTCTCACAGATTCTCTTCCACTTATTCGCTCTCTGAGCTAATATTTACATAATGCATAAGCGTTGTATTTTTGGTCTGCCTCTGTCTTTGTTTTTTTTTCTGTTTGCTGATTTCTTTTGCATCTTGTCAGGTTAAATGCTCAAATCCTAATGTATTATATTGGGATTTAACGTGGAAGATCAAAGCAAAGCAATTCATAACTGCGAAGAACTGTGGAAAGGTTTAAATGAGTAAAAAAAAAGATTATATTGTTATATTATTTGAATGTTAATCCCACTTTGCCCTTATACCCCTAGACCACTCTAGTTGCCTTATTTGTAAAATTAACTAATTAGTATAATTACAGCTGTATGTAAAGGCCTCACAGGTTTTTTAAGGACTATAGATGAACAAAATGGAAGAACAAACAACAAAGAGGAAAGTGGAGGAGCTGCAGAATCCGCAGCTCAGGTGCAAGAATGTGGCAAGACAAGAATCAGCAATGCCCTCAACAATGTTGGCCTTTAAAGAAAGGTGTCAGGAAGAAAGCATTCCAATTATTATAAAGCTTCATTTTACAATGTGACATAATGTAAAACGCTTCAAGTGAATACTTTTTGCAGTGTAATAAAATGTCTTTGTAGCTCTCTCATTTGTTTCTGTGCCTTTTTAGGTTTTTGACGCATCAGAATTTGCCCCCCACCCTCTGTATTCAGTCACCCAGGGTGGTCTGGACCTCCAGCAGGTATGTGGACTGATCCCTGATGTGCGGCGTGTGTAACATGTAATATTCTTCTTAAAGTTTCCTGAATAAACTGGTCTCCTTAGAAGTCAGCTATTTTCAAATACTAGCCTTAAAACTCCCCTGTGGAGCAGAGGAATGAGTGTTAGCTCTGTAAGGATCTGAGCGATGATTGAGAGCACAACTTGTGCTGTAGGTGCACAGGAACACGGTCCAACATGTGGTATTAGGCATAAAACCCAACAGCTGAGTGTAAAGCTGTAGCTATTGTTCTTGCCTTTCATAAGAGCTATAAGCAGTCCTGAAACTCGATGCCGCCGCACACCGCTACCACAGATCCTCTGTTTCTTTTTTTGTCCTGCCAAGCTCTATGCCACAAACATTTCGGCTTTAGAAATTTTCATCCCCTCACAGCAAAAAAAGGTAGTGCTATAATATCATAATAAAGGGCAGCCACTAACTGAGGATACAAACATTCAGAACATTCAAAACATATGTTATGTTTTGTAAATTCAACATTATTTCATCAATTTATACAGTTTCATTCTTCCAGATTTAGACACAGTTCTGATGCCCAAATTCAGTGCAAGGATGAGCTCTTCTTTCCCATTTATGACCATATAGAATGGACTGGTAATAGAAGCCAGACTGCTGGCGTCAGACAAAATTGAGTTAAGCTAAGTGCAGTCTGGTAGGCCATAACTGTAATGAGGGAGGGATATAAAGACACCCCCTTAATTATTTAGATGGATAGAAGGATCCATAGAACCACCTTTGACTTTTCAGCTGTTGGGGTGTTTCTTAATATTAAGGCTACAATTATTATTTTCTGATACTCTGATTCACATTTCTGATTCACATTTTATTAGGAGATGTGTGCATTCCTAGGAACAACATTCTAAAGAGGGTGAAAAACTACAGTTTTTCATTGATTGAGCTTAAAATGTAATGTCACTGTAATGCAACCCTAAGAATTAATCTATGAAAGTTAATACAAAGTAAGAATCAAAGAAAACTGAGGATAGTATTTTTCTTTACTGATGGTTGCACAGTTAAAAAGCATTAAATGTAAAATAAAAGTAAAAATCACACAACTATGAAAACAAGGTTAAATAGTAAAAGTGTCAAAAGTTACAAAAGATTACTGACAAAAGTCTTTTAGAAATTGCAGTCTCTTTTTACATTGATGCAATAATACATTTAACTGTGTAAATTAATTGTGTGATATTAACATGAGATCAGTCTATTTATATATTCAGAGATTCACTTTATTCTTAGACGAAATGAGTTAATGCTTTCCATTACAACTGTTTTGTAGCTCCAACAGTGTAACAAAGCACTATGGCAACACCATTTGGATAAAATGTTTTCCAACCTTCCTATTTCTGAACTGAAAACCGTTGGTCGGAGATTTGAGAGAGAAAATAAAGGTTGGTGTATATATGGAAGCTCAGTTAATCTTGGAGAACTAATCAAGTGGGAATGCTTATGCATTCCCACTTATTGTTTTTCACTTTTAATTTTTCTGACTCTAACTAGTCCCGCAGTTTTCAACTGATTTCAACAATTTTGGTATCAAAACGTTCAGCTTGTTCAGGAGAATTCTGCTATGTCTTTTGGTAAAGATATTTTTTGTAGTTTTCGCGATATTCAGCTTTTTCTGCATTTTTTTGTCCCATTGAAATGCATGTAGAATTCTTAGATTTCAGCAAAATTCAGCTAAACCTTCATCATCTTTGACCTTTAACTACTTCAGCCTACTTTCAGCTAGAAACACCATTCAACTTTTAAAATGTTTCCGTATCTTTCTGCTATTACTGTTTAACTCAGCTTTCTGCTAACTTTTACAGTTTTGCTTCAGTGAAGCTTCAAACTTTAAAAGAAAATTTAAAGATTTTCAGATTTATAATGGAAGTCTATGGACGGAATGTTCAGCTGCTAGAGTGTGCCACTCTAGTGTTTTCAAACATTTCACTCATGCCGAACAGCTTCAACTCACTCGCTCATTTTTTACTCTATCTAGATAAATTTTACATCAAAACGTAGGGATTTTTTAGGGTTCAGGGAAAAGTAACCCCCATTTGGGTGGCATTTTCGGTTTTTCCGCCCGTTTGGCCCAACCACAAAAAGTCCACACTTCCCCCAAAAGAAACCAAAAGAAAATCCGAAAATGAAAATAAAAAAAAACAACTTTTTGGATCGTCCCCTTCGGGAAAACCAATTTAAAATAGCAAAATGAGCCTTTTTGGGGAAATTGTTCCCCAAAACCTTCTAGCACTCACATTTAAAAAAGTGTGTCGAAAATCTTTTATGGTTTTCTAGGGAAAAATTTGGAGGGGGGTTTAAAAAATCTGGCCGAACCCCAAAATTTAAATTTTGACAAATTTTACAAATTTTTTTTCATCGTTTAAACCCCCCTTTAACCCCAAAAATTTTAGAAATATGAAAAGGGTTTCACCAGTTTTAGTCCCAAAGGGGTTTCTGAGTCACGGGGGAAAAAGGGTTTTTTAATCCCTTTTACGGGTTTTGGGTCACTGTGTTTGTGGAGGGAAAAATTTTGCTTTTTAGACTTTGCTTACCCTTGTTAAATTTTAAAAGAAGAGGATTTATTTAAAAAAATTTTTAAATTTTTTCCCCTTTAAATGTGAATGAACTCCTGAAAGTTAAATTGGGCCCAAAGGAAGGTGTCGCAAAGGAAAGAAAAATTTTTGGAAAAAATTTTAACCGTTTTCTTCAAAAATATTTTAAACTCCATTTTCCAAAAATTTAAAAAACCTAAAAAAAACCCAAAAAAAACCATTAAAAAACCTCTTTCCCCCACAAACCTTCTTTCAAAAAATTTCACGAATTATAAAAACCCCCCCACTTTTAAAACAACCCCAAAAAAAACATCAAATAAAAAAACCAATTTTTTTTTAAACCCCTTAAAATAAATAAAAATACCCTTTTCCCCCCCTTAAAAACCCAAACCCCCCTAAAAAATTTTTTTGGACTTTTTCAAAAAAAGACTCCAACCCTTAAAAATAAAACCCTTTTAAAAAATTTAAAATAAATTTTTTAATTTTTGGGAAAAATTAAAACCCAAAACCAAAACCCACTTTTTAAAAAATTAAAATCTTTTTAAGGGCCCCAAGGGGTTTTTTTTCAAAAACTCCTGGGAAAATTTTAAAAAAAACCTCCCAAATTTCCCAATTTTTTTTTTCTCCCAAAATAAAAAAGGTAAATTTTCCATTTGGAAAATCAAAGAACTTGGGGGTGGTATAAAAACCCCTTTTTCAAACCCCCACAACCCCCCTAACTTTAAAATAAGACCCCCAAACCCAACAAAATAAAAAATTTTTATAAACTCGTTTTAAAAATTTTTCAAATTTTCCATTAAAAACCCAAAAATTTGGGGGTTTTGGGTTTTTATTAGAACCTAACCCGGGTTTAAAACAAAAACCCCATAAAAACAAATATTCCCCAATAAAATCCCCATTTGTTAAAACAGCATCTTTAAACCTTTAATCATAAAACCAAAATTTAAATTTGGGTATTAATGGTTTTTTTTTTTTTGTGGCATAATTTTAAAATTATTTTTTTTAATTTTTAAATAAATTTGTTTAAACCCCAAAAAATTTTTTTTTTACCCCCTCAAATTTTTGGCCATAGTAGTTGTATTTAAAATTTAAAATTTTTAATTTTTTAATTAATGCCCGTTTTTGGAAAATGGGGCCTTTTTTCTTTTAAAAGGGGTTTCTTTTTAAGGGTTTTATTTCCTTTTTTTTTAAAATAATGCCCTTAAGTTAAAGACCCCGGGCCCCAAAGTGGGGCCCCCTTTTAAACCCCCACAAAGGGGTGTAAAGGCCCGGTTCCCCCCCCAAAATTTTTTTTTAAAAAGGTTTAAGTGGAGGGATTAGCTTTTCTTTCTATAAGGTTTCCTCTTCTTGTTTTTGGTTCTTATGGGTCAGTCCCCTTGGGGGAAAAATTAGGTTTGTAGGGTTTTAAAATTTTGATGAATGTTTTTTCTTTATGCTAAACAACCGACACATTTTAAATAATTTTCCAATTTTTTTTGCCAATCTTGGGCATTTCCACATAGATTTTTAAAATGTTAAAACTTATTCAATAACCCTTGGGCCCCAACATTTTACTTCCCCCCCCCTTTAAACTACTAAATTTTTTCTTCAAACCCGATAAGATTAAAGTTTTTCTTTGTAATTTTTTTTCTACTTCACTAAATTTCATAATTTTCACCTATGTTGTGAACTTTTTGGGGTTTCATTCTCTCTTTTTTTACAGGAAAATTTATTTTCTTTTGCTGCTTTAATTTGATAACACGCCCCCTGACAATTTTTCTGGAAAGTAGGTTTCACCCCCCTTTAAAATTTTTTATACATTTTTCTAGAAAAATTTGGGGGGACATTTATTAAAAAAACCCCTCTAATGCCCAAAATTCAAGAAAATTTTTTTTATATCATGTATTTGGGTTTTGGGTGTGCAGCTTTTTAAAAGGGGTTTTTTCTGCCATTTTACTGCCAAAAAAATTTACCCCACCAAAAAATCTTCAGAAAGAATTTAAAAATTTTTTTCTGCCCGTTTGAAAATTTTGTGAATTCCTAAAACAATTTTATATGGGGGGCTTAGGGAATTTTAGCGTTTTCATTCAGGGAAAAACATTTCCCACTTTGATTTTTTCTCCGAAACCCGCTTTTTTTAGGGTTTTTTTTTTAAAATTCTCTCTTTTTATTAAAAAATTTGGGGTTTTGCTTTTTTAAGGGGGAATTTTTTGCACCCCCCTTTTATTTGGTTTTTTTACTTAAAATTTTTCGACTCTAACTTTTCCCCTTTTTCCACCGATTTCAACAAATTTTTGGGATCAAAACGTCACTCGTTTAGGAGAATTTTGCTATGTCTTTTTTTTTAAAGATATTTTTGTTGTTTTCCCCGTATTCAACTTTTTTTTCGATTTTTTGTCCCCGTTTTTCATGTAGAATTTTTAATTTCAGCAAAACTTCAGCTAA